AATACTTAACACACCAGAAACAACTTTTTTTGCAGTGTTGGAAATTATTTTTCAAAAATATTGCTGAAAGGCAAGTCCAGCTCTTTCGGCAAGTTCAGCTCAACTTTAACTTGGCCATTTGTAATATACTTTCACAACACTGATTGTTTTAGCTTTTTTACTTCATAATTAGCAATAGAGCCGCTAAGATGGCCGTAGATAATTAATCTAACCCATCATTTCATTATTCACTATATAAATTGAAATATTTTGCCCTAAAATTTTGGAAAGGCTTTGTTAAAATATGTAAGTTGCAAGTGTGTTCCTATGAGACTATGTAGAATAAATGCAGAATAAATGACCACTAGAGCAGGATTAATTTTGACTGGACAATTCGTTATAACTTTTTTGAATGAAAACCAAAAATGTCACATGCAAAACATGTAAGGTGTCTCTGTACATCAAAAGCAAGAAGGTATGTGCAATGGTTTCAAAAATATCAATCACAGCTCAACTGATGCCAAAATTAAATTATGCACATGAAACTCAGGTTCAACAGTATGTCCCAAACTTAATTGAAATGTGCTTTCTCTAAGTTTAAATCCAATTCAACAAAGAAAATGAAAAAATTACAATTTTTAACAAAATTCAAAAAGAAATTAGCATACAAACTCACCTTTAAGGTCTTAAGGCCTATTTTCTTCCTGGTAAATGACCTACAACTGACCTTACAATGATGCAATATGATGTCCGAATTCTATAGCTGAAAGATCTTTACACATCATAAACAGGTCATGACAATAACATTTTCCCAAGCCATTGAATCTTTTGCAAAAATTGCATAACATGATTATTTACACATTTCAAATGAGTTGTTTCCCTTTCATTATAAAAAAATATCCTATTTTCCTTTCTTTTCATTCCTGGAAAATTTTTTTAAAATTGAAAAATTTCTTACTGAAAATGTCTAATTTTGGAAAAAAAAGAAGGGAATTTAAACAAAGTATGGAAAGCTGCAAAATGGGCCCGAGTAAAAAATTGGTTGTTTCTTTAAAAAAAGTTTGGTTTGGTTTGGTTTGGTGCACCATTAACCGGTTTAAACTCCCCAGCAGTCTTTATTATGCTGCTGACCGTTCCAAGGCGGCGCCCCACTGTGTTCCTCAGATGTATGTCTATGTTGTTTCATACTGTTTTGGTGACACTTTTGCTTGTGTCCCTTGTTGTTTTCTCGTCTACGGTAAGTATCTTCCCCATTGCCTCTAGTTTTTATTTCTTTGATTACTCCCCCCCCCCCCTTCCCCCGGTCTCCTGTCCCCCCTTCCCTTTGTGGCCTATTTTTATTTTCTTGTAATTCCTAGTCGGTTGCAGGTTGATTGTCATTTGATGTTTGGCCTGTCCGTGCTCTGTCTTTGCCCTGTCCTGTTTTTTTTTGGGGGCCCCCCTTGGGTTTCCTTTTGCCTTTTTGGTTTTTGGTTGTTGGGTTCTTTGGGGGGGGTTTGCTTTTCATTAAAACGCCGCCTTTCCTTGTTATCTTTTTTTATCATTTTTTTTTAATTTTGACCATCATTATTTTTATCCTGCGACCCCCTATATTGTAAAGATTTTAAAACCCAAAAATTTTCGACTTAGCTTAAAGGGCTTTAACAGGGTTTTTTTTATATTTAAAAGAGATTTGTGTATCCATTGTCAATTTTCTTATTTTTAAAATTTTAAAGCATAAAATATTTTTTAAACTAAAATTTTGGAAGAAATTTCCCAGACCTGGGGCTTTTTAAGTTTTAAATTTTTAAACGGGGCCCTTAATCAAATAAAATGAGCAAATTTTGGTTTAAAAGGACTACCAAAGGGAAATGCTACAGAAAAAGTTTTGTGTTTTTCAGAAAGGAAATAAATGTTCAAAGGTTTTTTTCTTTTTTTTAGCTTTGGGGCCCCCAAAAAAACCAATCTAAAAAAAATGAAAAAACGAAAAAGGGATTTAAAAATTTTAAATATTTTTGGTGATCATTCATTTTTTAAAGTTCTGATTTTAGAAGATTTTTTTAAGGGTTTTTTCTTTTTTTTACCCTTTTTGACCCCAAAAAAGGGCCCATTTTTGAAATGCCCATGAGAAACATTTTTGACTGTCAAAAAGGATGTTTACCAACCAAATTTTAGGTAAATTTCCCGGCCAGTTTAAAGGGGGAAAGGAAGAAAATTTTTTTTACGCATGACAAAGGGGACGACGGATGCCGGATACCCCCCTTTGTTTACTAATAGCCCCCCTAGCCTTCGGTTTTGGGTTGAGCTAAAAAAACTTTGCACTTTAAAAACCCGCATTTTTGGGGTTAAAAACGCACTTTGGGTTTAAACCCAAAGTGGGTTACATACTCTAGTGTCATAGTTGGCCTTCAGTGCTTTACACAGGTACATATGCATGTATTGACATCAAACAACGACCGCACATTAGGGTCAATAAAAACGAACTTAAGTGATATTTTAAAACAATATCTTGTAGTTGATGCCAATTGTAAACAATATCTGCGAAATGTATTAAGTTTGCTAACAAAAGCAGACGATTGATTATTTTAATATGTTATATTTAATGGTTTCAATTTATCATAATTATGTTTTATATTCAATTATTTGTCTCATAGGATATTGGCCTTAAAAGTAACACGATATATTGATATGTATGATGTGTATTGTGTGTTATAATACATCAGATAACATATCCATGAACTAGCGTTGTGTGCCAATAATTGCAGAGCTTGAATGTCAGACACATTTCCATCTTATCAAAATCCAGGTTCTTATACAATAGGATCCGTTCAGGACCCATAACAATCAATCTAGATTTACCCTAATTCTTATTATATTTAATGAAGGTAATTTCTGAATTGATTAACTATAGTTTGTCTATGTTGAATGTCGTAGAAAGACTTGCATTGAAAGGAATTAGACTATGTCAATCTGCAACTACTGAAATAAAATAAACATTTAATATGGCTTCCAAGATGGACGCCATATTATAAGAATTCACCATGCTTAACAAGATCATAAGTTTATAATCATTTACTTGAAATTCACGTCCAATTATGGCAGGGATTATTTCGGAAAAAGACATTTCAAAATGGCAGTGGTTTTGGTGGTACATCAAACTGATACGTTTTTCAAAAAATTATCATCAGTTACTTTAAAAAATTATCATGACTGGTACCTAACAAACGTAAAAGTCACTAGGATTTACGGGATGAAAACTAAAATTTACTGTAAGGCATGATGTGAAAAAAGCGGATGTAACCGTCAGTAACTTTATTCAATTTATGATAAATTTCATTTCTAACTTACTTGTTACAAGTCATTTAGATAGAAATTAAAATGAACCGAGATGACATTTGCATTTTATTACACCTCATCATATTAAATATAGGGTTCAAGTTTTGGAACCAAAAGTTATCCAGTAAATGGCTGACAAAACAGGATATTTTTCGAATTTGTAGGAATAAATCGCATTTTAAGTACTAAAGTGGTTTGTTATATAGCCGCATTTTTTAGATATTTCGAGTTGTATAATTAATGAAACACTTTCCACTTAAGCAACAAATGCACATATTTTATGACTGATACATCAGCATTTAATGACGTAGAAATATTGATGTATATAAGTATCGACCGTCATCTTGAGCTCCAACTCAAAAATTTCATTGTCACAGACCGCAAATAACCCAGTATTTAAGCAGAATTCAGTTGACAGTATCAGAATTCTGAAACCCAAAGTGCGTTGATATGTAGCATATCAACGCACTTTTGGGTCACGTTTTCGACTTTGACCCAAAAGTGCCTTTGACGGTGTTATATGCACAATCAGTGTGTACTCGATTGAGCTTTTTTCGTTAATGCATATTTCTTATTTGTAAATGCAAAACAATGTTGTTTAAATAGTAAATACTAATAACATTTTAGGGACAATTTACCAGATATAAGTGTAGGAATATGTCCTCTATATACAGTAGAATAAATACAAGATGTTAACAAATAACAATTCTGCTAAAAATACATTTTTGATGTGCGACTTATTGCAAGCTTAAAATAAATTAAATGTCGTTCATGACGTCGCAAAATAAATACTTAAATTCACATGAGTTCTTCTATTTGATAATGCGCTGCTAAGTATTCTAGGATCACAATAACAAGTCCTAGTTTGCATTTCTAAATCGGGAAAGAATTTGATCATATTTTGCATTCTTTTGAATGGGGCTGGAATTCTCCTTGACTTTAAGTAAATTCTCATTTAACGGGTATAGCCTTGCTAAGTTAAGTGAATAACATAAGCGATTCATAGTTTCAATTTTTAGACGTCAGCACAATCACAGTATATACAAACAAGAGATTATATAACTAGTTATCACTCTTCTTATGAGTAAAGGCTACCATTTATAAATACAAGATCAAAAAAATAATAATTACCTTAATTTTATTAATTTTTTAATTGAAATAACATCTCTTTAAATAAAATTAAATATTGTATAAAACACCATTCACATATTCAAATTTATTGTCAAATTTGAATTAGTAGACTCAATGCATACATGAAACATGCCGGGCAGCATGCTTTCTTTAATGGTCGGCTATTGGCACAAGAAACGTCCAGTGCATTTTTTCATCTGTGATTATATTCGCCGTCATTGAAACGCTTGCACCCGCTGAACACGAGTTTCCTGTGACCAAATGATCTTCGTTTGTTTAATCTTACGGGCTTCCTATTCTAGCTGAAGTAGTATATTGGCAGTTAATTGGCTACATACAACAATCGCACGAATTTCCATTTTTTCAACGAGCATCCTTTTTTCTACACTGAACGCCATGTTTAGATATTCAATGTCTGAATTTCGTCACATTTGGACCTAAATTCACTTAACTATCACACAACTTGTTGTGAGATACTTTTCACATTGATGTAATTGTTGCCTTTAATTGATTTAAATTGTTATATTTTTTTCTAGCTCGGTGGACTATGTTGAAGATTACAGAAAAGGGCGTTGATGGGGGGAACAACAAGCAGACCACTGTGTGGTTTTTATCCATTGACATATATCACATTTGGAAACATAATACAACTACAGTTCAAGTCTGATGATTCATCTGAAAATAAGGGTTTCAAATTCACAATCAAGTCGGTGAAAAGTAATTATTTAATTTCTTTTTGATTTCATATATGTCAGCATCAAAAAGTCTGGATTTTTTTCTTTCAAAATACTTTATATAATATTTCCATATTAAATGTTTTCTTAGCATTTGTTCAAACAGTAGTTCAAACAACTCTGTCTTTGAGACATGTCTTGTTTATGTTCATTCCAATTAGTTGTATTACTGTGTTGGAAAGGTATCTAACCCCCCTTGATTTATAACAATGGAATGTTTTAATATTGTTGATGCAGTTGTCCAATGAACAAAAAGTTTTTATGCTATCCCCGAAGGGAGTATAGTGTACCTGGGGCCACGCCAGAGTTTTCCGTATGTTCCATTTGTCGTATAGTGTGTCCGTCCATTTTGCCTTTTTCCGGAGCATAACTTGAACACCCTTAGACATAATTTATTTGAACTGCACACAGTGGTAGACTGACATTGAGGCCGGGTACAGTGTCAAAGAACTATATTTTTCTTCGTGTATGAATTATCTCCCCTTTTAGAGGTAATGTCCTGAGTATAACCTGAAAACCCTTGGACACAATTTATTTAAACTGCACACAGAGGTAGAAGGCATTGACGCGGAGTGCAGTGACAAAGAATTATACATTTAACTCTATTTTGCCCTGTTTTTGAATTATCTTTCCTTTTAGAAAAGTGTTATCCTTAGCATAACCTGAAAACCCTTTGACATAATTTGTTTAAACAGCACACAGTGGTAGAGAGCATTGAGGCGGAGTGTAATGACAAAAAATCAAAACTCTATTTAGATCCGTTTTTGAGTGATCCCTCCTTTTAGAAAAATCTTGTTACACTTTGAACTTTTTCTGGAACATAACTCTGACACTATGAGATATATGAACAATAAACTTTGTAGATATATAGATCTTATTGGGTACATTTGCAGTGCAAAAGATCCGTGACAAATGTGGATAAACTTTATCTCGACCCGGCGTTTTAAGTAAACAATTAGTTTCTTTCATAGATAACCTATTGAAAGTAATATTTGAACAAGAGCCATGTTATTATGGCCATCCCCAGCCGGATGTGTTTGCTCATTGGGAGTAAATATATGTAGTAGAGCAGAGTAATTCAATTTGAATAGGTCTTTTGGCAATGAAAACTTTTGGCTGGAGTGATAAAAGCTATTGAAACCTATATGAATACTGATGGCTGAAAATAAGAAAGGGCAATAACTGAAAAATTATGCAGGGTAGAATTATCATTTGTGTGTGCTGCACTCCTACTTAATGAGATCTATCCACCTATGAAGTTTCAAGTTGATACCTCAAATACTTTTTGAGATAAGCTCTGGACAAAAAGTATGAAAAAAAAACAGGGCAATAACTCAAAATTAATAAGGGAAGAGTTATCATTCTTGCACACAGCATTCCTTCTCAATAAGATCTATCCACCTAATGAATGTTCATGTTGACATCTCAAAGACTTTTTGAGTTATGCTCCACTCAGGTAAAAAATAAAGTATGAAAAATATCAAAGGGCAATAACACAAAAAATATGAAAAGTGGAGTTATCATTATTGTGCACTGCACACTTCTCGAGTGAGATCTATCCACCTATGAAGTTTTATAGTGATATCTCAAAGGCCTTTTGAGTTATGCTCTGGACAAAAATTAAATTTGAAAGTAACAAAGGGCAATAACTCAAAAATTATGCAGGGTGGAGTTATCATTCTTGTGCACTGCACTGCACTGTACTCCTCCTCAATATGATCTATCCACCTTTGAAGTTTCAAGTTGATATCTCAAATACTTTTTGAGATATGTTCCGGACAAAAATGTCAGACGGACGGACTGACTGAAGGTCGGACGGACGGACGAAGACAATTCCTTTATCCCCCGGCGCCTTTCGGCGGGGGATAAAAACCAAGGGAGTTGATTTATATCAAAAATAATAAATCAAGTGAGATTTATTTGAACAACCACAAGAATAGATCCAAAGCGCATACATTAGGCCTTCGTTGGAATGAGTATCATTCGACTTTTTTTAAAGGCACGGTGTCGGACATATAAATTTTCTTACCCGTTAATTACATTATACTTTATAATTGATACTCTCGCTTCCTCTGATATGCGGATTGTAAGTGTCAGAGTGGCACGTGATTGCTTGATTTTAAAGCCAGTTTACAGTATCACACACAAGTAGGACACTTAGACCACTTAACTGCAATTAAACTAGAGTGTTTTTGCACCATGACGTGGTTGTGTGAAGTAATTAAAGCCGTAATTGTGGTATTAGGTGTTTATGTATCATAAAATTTAATATGTTAAGTGATAGAATCTAGCATGTACCTACATATGATAAACTGCATTACATGTGTTATTCTGCTACCATTCAATGCTTGTAATTGCTGATTAAATTGATTGAACCTGAAAACTAACAGATGTGTATGCATTATGACATGTTTTGAAATTGACAGAACTTATCTTCGAAGCAAGTGTTTCCTCTACATATTTTTGTGAACAGTCACTTATTCAAAGAGCAAGAAAACAAATGTTACATAAATTTCTAATATATTTTTATTTAAATATTACTCAATCTGACTATATAATAAACATTTTCAGACCGATAATCGCAACGTTGTGGCTTGGGAGAATTTAAATGAAAATGAATATTACTCACATTGTCAATATGTTTTCATTGCAACCCTTGCAACGACGCTTTTTTGTCCTATCTTTGACTGAATTACAGGTTATTAGATAGAATTAAATTATCTGTTCCGTCCAGTAACGCAACAATGTCTAATGTGACATAATTGTTTGTTCTTCTCTAAAACTAAATATAACACTTGCTCGTGATTAAAACTTTCTACATCATTTTATTTCCACATGTCATATATAAAACGATAGCTAGTTGTTGTAAGCTTAACGTTTTAATCCTCGAACTGCCGCTTTCGGCTTTTTACCTGACCATATATTTAACCATCATATGACTTTACTTTATATCACTTGGTACTCAGCATGCAAGGATCATAAATGTTACACATGATCAGGAGTAGGTGAATGTGTATTGGTCTTGATAATGTTACACTATAATAAAGGTCTGCTAAATCTCTATGTAGAATTTATCTTTTCCACCTACTCATGTTGCGCATGCACAAGAAAATACTTTATCCACGTCGTATAAACGTCTATAAAAACAATAATTAATAAGATGAAAATTTTCGTATTAACACATATTTTTTTTCCTATTTGCAGACTTGGATGACACTTTTTGCATTGGTAGTATATTAGGTGGTGAGGATTCGAGAATAGTGAACAGAGAAACTTCAGGAGACAACTGTTTTTACCGAATACAGGTGTAATAATTACAGTTTTTTTAAAATGAAATAATAATTTGAGCAGACTAACCCCTTTTACCTTAACCTAGTACATTGTGAATCTTTTTTAAAATTACTAATGTAAGAAAACAAGAATCAAGAAAATCAAGAAAACAAAAATGAAAATGTACATATTTTGGAATCATCACATTCTATGTTATCTACAGTTAAAATTAACATGTATAAAATTTGATTTTAACAATAAGATTTTTCAGGCACCAAAACAAAATGATATAACATTGACACTCAAAATGCTAGATTTTGGCTCAGCCAGTTGTGAGGAGGAAAGTATAATTATTTATGAAGGTCACAGTACACGTAAGTTTTGTAAAATACTATCATTCTTTAATGTAAAGTGTATTTAAAAAAACAGGAACCGTCTTAATACTTATAAATAAACATTCAACTAGTAAGGATTTATCTAAACGTTTTCCTATCTGTTCGTAAGTTTATCTATTCAGCCGCTTTGTAGACTCTGTTGTTGATGGATCAGAATATAAAGATTAGCTGACACTGAAGCTCTGTATAGTGATGTATGTTTCGACATTTGAGTCAACTTATTGCAGCCTGGAAATTTGCTAATCGAAATTAATATTTGTTTTATAATTTCATATCTGTGTCCCGAATTACTTTCAATATTATTTAAATAAATTATCAAGTGCATTCGTAAATCATATAAAAAGTGTTATCGTAATAATATAATAATAACAGAAAAAATATACTAAGAACAGTATAAATCCGTTTGTGCCGCTCATTTATTAAATTTTTATATTGAGCATATTCCTTAAAGGTTGTGCATTTAAATAGATTTTATTCCGAAATTCTCTCCCTATTCTCCATTGTATCACTTCAAGTCCCAATACTGATTGCACACAAAAAGATAGACAAACAAACAAAACAAAACTTCTTCATTCCGTTATTGCTTCCAATTTTTGTGATCCAATATATCTTGAGAAGATTAATTCTTGATTATTGATAGTTTCTTGGTAACTTGGTGATGATTGCTAGTGGAAGCGCTCAATATGTATTTTTACTTCACGCTGGCAATCACAGTAGAGATTATTTCAATTTCAGTTATGTAAAAACATGTGTTTAAGTCCAGTTTAAGAGGTATTTTTTACCTTCAAACTAACAGAGCTTTCACAAGTCAAAGAATAATCTAGACCCCTTATACATTTTGTTTGAAACATTTTCCTGTAAACAAAAAGTTTTCTAAAGATTTTAAATAAAAAATTTATATTTCTTTCAGCATAATTAGCAATTAAATTGGTATGATATAATTAAACATGTTAAGAATGTTAAAAATTTTGTCACTTCTTTTTTTGTATGTTGGTTTCAAAATTTATTTTTTTAGAAAAAGACCCTTTTGGTACATATGAGTGAAATGATCTTGGAATACTTTTTCCATTTTCCCTGCAAGTTTAATGTTTATTGAGTACAGGAATCCTCTGAAACTTGATTTTGGCGAACGTTTTAAAATAGAATACATGTTTGTAGAGGGACAACTTAATATCATCAACACCCCTTCTTCGGTTAGCGGAAATGATGGTAATGCGTACTTGCTTTTGATAAAACATAAAAAAATGAAATCAATTATTTAAGATGAAGGACACCCCCTAATGGGCACTATATGAAACTGTAAAAGACGACATAATGAAAAAGCCTTAATGGCAAAACCTATTAAGCGTTTTCTACAATTGCGCATTATATTTTATGATAAGACCGCCTCCTTGGTCGAGGGTTTAATCCAAATTACCTCTCTCGGCGGGGTTCGATCCCCGGGAGAACTTTGGTAGTTCAGCACGGAGGAAGGTAAGCAGTAACTGGTTATCTCTCAAGGGAACGCATGGTTAAAAAACTACCCGCCTATATGACTGAAATACTGTTGGGAAAAGGCGTAAAATGAAACAAACAAACACAAAAAAATATGATAATCATTTTTTATTCTTTTTTCAGACATTGATGGTTCGTTCAAAGTAAACAACACAGAGAATGGTATCAACTTATGCACAGAATCAAAATACAAAAACAACAAAAAGTTGGCTGTCGCGGTATGTAATGATAATCTTCCTCGTCATGTTGTACAGATAGAATTCGACTATTTCGACATGGAAAACTCAGATTACTGTATCTTTGATTCAGTGAATCTTTTGCTTTTGACAGGAGACAGAGAAGGTATTTCAATTTAAGCGTTTATTTTTCACTTTATTTAACAGATTAAATGCAATATCAATAAAAAAGTACTTATGTTCCAAAACTGTTTCCGTGCAAATTTACATAATTTGTAGCAGGCACTTACGAATAAATTAATACTAATATTTTTAACACAGTCTCTCAACAATAACTTTTTTGAATCGTAAGAATAATTCTAAAATTTATATCATATATTTTCCAGAAACATCTTTTCTAAACGGACAATCTTGTGGAAAATATAAACATAAGCAAACGTTTGTCACAAGAGGCAACTCACTTCGCCTAGAACTTAAAACAGATGAATCATTATCCCTTAAGACTTTTCAGGCAAAGATTTCATTTGTACCAGATACGGGTAACAAAAAAATTCTTTTCTGTTCTATGTTATTTCAAATAATTTCAAGTTCTATCTTTAAAACATTTCACACAGAGTTACACTTCAACAATTTTACCGATTAACTTGTCATTTATGAAGCTTTTGGAATGTTCTTCTTTCGTTAACCAATTAAACAAGTGAATAATTTATTTTAGAATGTATATGCAAAGACAAAATGGAATGCATTCAGGAAAACACTGAAAAGTATGTAACTTTAAATTAATTATGTGGAAAATGATATTTCCTTTTAATATGTGTGTATTTAAAAAAAAACAAATACTAACTATAGACGCTGTTTTCCTTTTATTTGAAATCTGTAGACAAGAATTTAAAGGAAGTAAGATTATGAAATGCATTTATAAGCTTATGAAAATCAACTTTGACATTAATTGAATTAATCTCTGCAACGCACATAAGATTCATTGTCAAATAAACATTGTTAATATAACAATGACATGAGAAATATTTCACGTTCATTTTTGTTTAAATATGACTATTTAAATATGACTATTTTTTGATATTCATAATGTATTCGAGAGAACAATTTGATATAAAACATGCCATAATGGCGGAAAAGTATCAATGAATCGTTCTTACGAAGAATGTTACTGCCTAAAGGTTTCAAAGGGGATGACTGCTCACAAAGAGATGTAAGAAAAATGCAGTATTCAAATGGATGAATGAGAGTTTGCTTGATCTCAACGATGCTCTTCCCAAATCCATTTTCATTTCGTAATTTTTATGTTAACCATTGTCATTGAAATATACTTCGTTGAAAATTGTTGATTCCGTAACCGTGTGCTGTATTTGTTCCCTATTCTAATTGTTTCTTATTAATCTCCATTTTCCGAAGAAAAGTGGTGTTATTGTCACTACTCTCTCTTCGGTGATGGTATCGGCGTTGGTTAACTTGTTATTTACGGCAATACATTTAGACACTACAAACGCTTTTCATTTCAAACTTGGTATACATGTTTATTCTCATAAATGAACGCATGTACACCTAAAATTAGTTTTTTGCAAACTTTTCCTTCCTCTTTAATTACCATTTTCTGCCATTGTTAACCTTTTTATTTAGGTGCATTTTCTCAGCAACTATGACTTAAGTTTTTCTCTTCAAATTTGTATATATAATCACTATCAAAATATGACGCCATTTCAACAGGTAAAATTGTTCTGTGACTTTTTCAAAATGGCAGAATTGCTAATGTTGCAGGCTCGCTCAATGTACAGCAGCCAGTTGGTGCAAGCTAACCACGTTCGAATCTATATAAATACTCATTTTCTTGTTCAAATACACGTTTTTATTCAAGCAATATGTCCCCTTATCCAGTTTAACTCAGTGACCCCAATTATAAGTTTATTCTCTCTAAGTTTATTTCCTTAACCAAACGTTAAATAGTTTAGTTCCTTTACACAAAATTTTAAAGTTGTTACTAAAATTTGGATAATAATGAAAACATTAAGAACTTATTTCACTTCTTAAATCAATTAGATATGGCGAAGACAAACATTTCTTTTTGTAAAACTTTATACGATTACATATCATTCAAAACTCGTTTATTTATTTTTTACATGCCTTTTAAGTGTGTTTAAATCAATATTTATTTTGCAAGGGTGAATTTCTGCAAAATATAAGATTCATTAGTGCACCCGTAGACCGAACGATAAAGAGAGGTCAAGGTTACGTAGAAGAATGTGAAGTTGAAGTTCCATATGGAGTGCAGGTAGAATATAATTGGTAAGAGAAGAATCATTATAGTTTTTTAGTTGTTTATTAAAACCTAAATAAGGAATCAAAAGGACGACCAAAAGAGACTAAGATTTGAACAAACCATCCAAAACCCATGGCAAAAGTAGGGATCGAAACACAGATTTTTTCATATATGAGGTAACCACTTTACCGACTGTACTATCGCGGATGTGACGAGAACATATACATTACGCTAGTGTGAGTTACGCAAACATTAGTTATATACTTTATAATAATTCTCGTAAACTATACGGACAGAACCGAAGTGGGATCGAATATTTAAATAAGTGCTATTATGTTTTCATCATTGACAGGTCAATAAAATCAGATCATATAAATAGTAAAACGCACAAGACAGGGAGATATTAGTAGTCCTTTGATTTTTGTTCATTTTATTAACGACCTATCTACTTATCTTCGGAGCAATGTGATAGTGGTATAGATGTAAATGCATGTAAAAATATCCCTGATATTATTACGTTATTATCCGTTTATGTTGCAAACACTGTTGTTAGCTTGTTACGCAATCTTAACTTTATCAAATAGAATAGAGAAAAACAGAATCTTTAAAGAAAGACCAACACGGAAATCTTGAAAATGTTGCAGTCTTGGTTTGATTGAGCCTACTCATGAACAATACTGGAAAGTTCAAATTACCGTCCACGCACTCTAGCACCGGCCTTAGCAAAATTCAACACGAAAATTATGAAATTTTCAATTTAGAAACATCCGCAGATGGCAGTTATCATGGAACCTATAATGTGATACAGTAGTGTCATTTCATGAAAAGCGGTGAATGGTAAAAAGTAAAATAATGCGTGTGCTTTAAACGAGAAAACAATGGGAGAACTAAATAAAATGGAATTTTGAAACGGGATCTGAGGTTTTTTCGTGGTAATGTCGGCATTGGTCTCAATAAATGTAAGACAGTAATAATATTATTCCGTAGACGTAGTCCTTCAAATTACTCAGAGATATAGAAATTTCGGGTTCCCAATCAACACTACATCAGTATAAATATATGGAACTCCTTCAATCCTTAAATTGTTATGGTCCAAAACTTTGTATACGTTGGCGTCGCAAGGAACAACATATGTATATTGTATAAGTCTTTATCAAAGGCAGTTTGGATATTTTGATTACATGAAAAAGGTAAAATAAGTAAAACACAGAAATTATTATATAGATACATGCAAAAGTAAATCAAAAAACGATAACGAAAGAACTCGATTTCTGAAAGGAAGACAGAGCAACAAGAAATCACCTACTAGGGCCCGGCGAAACAAAACAGAAAACAAATATTAAGACAGTTTAATCCCAAAGGGCTTTAAAAACTATCCATCATAGAGTCTCCCACTTGGTCCGTTAGCTGTAATCAAAAGAGGAAAGCATAGTGTCCAACTGTAAAAGAGTTTAACACTTAGCATGCAGTATGTCATAAAATAATAGGGTCATAACCTCCTTTAAAAAGAAGTTTAATGATTTAATTAAAAACAGAAGAAAAATTACAATGATTCAAAATATAACGAAGTTTATAAATCAAATCGCCATAAAAATCTGGCTGGCTAATCCCTTGTCGCAGAAGTGTTTTTAAATCACTTGTGAACTTAAGATTAAATCTCAACTACGATTGTAAAATTTTGTAAAATATTTTCTTAATAATCATAGTGATGTATTGCTTAAGAAGCTTGCTAGTAATGGAAATATTCCGCTCGTTAAAATCTTTTACGTTGCTACAAGCTCTAGCGAATCTAATAAAAACTGAGACTAATAAAACTGAGAAACATATACCCCGTCAGATGTTGCATGGGGTACCTCTCCATCTACGTAAATGAGGATTATCATCTATAAAATATCAAAGTCATCTCTCATCATATATTTTCGTGTGAATAGAACTGTTGTTGACAGTAATATGAAGACCCAAAAACATATAAGATTCTTAACTTAAAATCAAACTCGATTTCAAAGTTTAAATTGCGGGGGCTACTGTTTATTTGGTTTAGTTACATTAGCCTCAAGGAAAGGATCTAGAGTGTGTGTTTACCACGACCTTTCAAATAAGCCGAAACGTTATAATCAAAATAACAAATAAGTCAGTCAATTGTACAAACATGTATATGGACAGTTGTACTTAAATACTAGAGACATGTAATGTAAAATGTTGTTCTGCCAATCAAGGTAGTATTAATCACATGCCGATGTATGACTTGCATGTGTGAAACTATGATTATCTGTATTTCTAATGTTGTACACATATTTCCTATGTTGGTCAAGTGTTTCATGTAATGGTATTCATTTGTTCCATGGTATGTTGTTCAATTGTTTCATGGCCATCATAAAATTAAAAAAAAATGTGTTTTATTTTTCTTTATGTAGTAGGCAAAGGTTTCTATAGAAAAAGTGGCCTATTCGTTTCCGAACACTTGCCCATAAGTTCCCCATACAATAAAGTGTTTCATAACGTTTCGAAATATTGGCCAGTTGCCCTTAAATAAGTAACTTAAAAAATAAACAAATACATAAAGAATGGTGCATTTAGCGTTTATTTTTAAATAACATAAGGTATACTAGTAAATGTAAAAATTGAAATAAACATGACGTTTTAATGTTGATAGTTTAAGGGGAAAAGAAAATGTCCTACCTATATGTTAATTGTTTAGTAGGTTTTATTTTTAGGTCATTAAAAGGAACATTGATAGAGCCGTACAGTAAAAAAGCAGGCTTTGGAACTCATCCAGGTGGAGTACTACAGGTGCGTTATGAATTTTCTAGCATTTTATTTCGAATTATGTGAGAATTTGTTTACAGATAGGTTACGGTAATTATTTCGATTTTATCAATATGAATATATTTAGAATGATTGAAACCCTATCATTTCTCATTCGGGTATATATTATATATAGATTTACTGCTAATGAAATTCTAAATATCGAAATACTTATATTAGATACTTATCTCTTCTTTTTGACTGTTGACGGAATAGAGAGGATAATGTTTTTCTTTTTAACTGCTATTGAGTCAGAATTAAGCCTCCTTTGTAATTCTCCTTTATCTAAAATAATCAGAAAAATCATCATTGCAAACCTAACTAATATTGAATGGTAAAAACTGGTTCCGGAGAACTTGATTTTCCCAGTAAATTATTTCTAATGAAAGACAGATTTTACATATATTCGGATAACGGAATAATCATTTTTGATGTCGTACACGCAGGGATGAAAATTAAGATAATTACTTAAGAAAGTAATATTTCTATACATACCTTATCAAAATTGAACTACATACAGTAGTAGCATTTGGTGTATAGTACTGAGAATCGACCGCATGAGCCGGAGATGAGTCGGGTTTGTCCAGATTCCCAAATCATATATATTCAACTTCACTATTTTAATGTTTAAGATTGATGACTTTTCGGACGCATTGGTGGGACAATATTCATGCTTTGCGACAACCTCTGGTGGAACAGCGGAACACACGTTTGAGTATAGGATTGCAGAAGATTGTAACGTCAGTAAGTTTAAAACATTAGCAACACAACAAATGATTTAATGTATTACAAATTGAAAAAAAAATATAAATGCAAATTTATCAAAGAAAAGATAAACAGTAGTTTTATAAGCAACCAGCAACAAATGTGATCTAAATTTACAATAGAATTTTCCAATTGCAAAGACACTATCAAAGTGTATAAAAACATATTTAGCGTGTTAACACTGCACCATGACAGAGATAGAAAACTAAGGTTTGTGAAATTAGCCTCTTTATTTTTATATACCTTATAAAAAGTATGTTAATAGTCAGCAGTATAATTAAATCTAACTGGCCGACTGGGTGTGGAATAATACATTTTATCGAATAGCTAAAATCTCATCTTTCACAACTGGGAGGTTTGAAACGCACATTTAGGCAGGTTTAAGGGATGATTGCGGTAGCACTTTCCACTATTTTCTACATACATACTCCGTCATACTGAGCCTGTTGCATTTGTAGTTTTGTCGTTTTGGGCGTTCGTTAAGGTCTCTTTTCCCTTTTAAGTGACTGTTAAAAGTTTCATTCAATATGATTTCAATTATGGTCTCTTTTCTTATAGATTCCTTGTAGTGGTTTTATATGATAGATAATGCACTGTACTTATCCCCCACTCTAATACATCATCTGTTTGACTAATTGTGATGTTTATAAGTTAAGATAGTCGAATTTAATAATTTTTGGTTGTTTTTGCATTGTTTGACATATTCAAATTGAACAGGAATATTCCCTGGACCTCAGTCAGAGAGCAAAAAGATAAACGAAATGGCTTTACTTATATGCCGCGTGGACCACCGGGCCAAAGAAGTTCGATGGAAGAAAGATGGAGTTTACATTGATTATGACAAGGATGATAGAATTAAGGTATTTTTACATTTTACCTTTTTAATCAAGTTAGTACGTATTTCCATACGTGGGCAAACATAAATCATGTAATAATCTACTATGTTTTCGAATTGTTTAGTTCAATCTTTAATAGATTGTAAGAAATATGAAATGAGTAAAAATTTAATTTGCAATTTTGTATAAAATTAAATAGCAAATATATTAATCTTGACATGTCATTAATTGGAAATCGTCACTTGTATTTAACAGACAGACAATTTTATGATAAACATTACAGTTTTTTTGCCATCTATTTTACATATATATAAATTAACATATATTTGTGAAGTGATCAAATAAAGTTCTAACAATAATTGAAATTTTTATCACAAAAATAAAGAGAGATATTGTAAGGAGGATAAATCGGCAACTCACATTTTCTAGTTAAAAAGTTTGCAATTTTATGACTTTCTTAACTTAAATGTGTTATATATGAATTTTGCAAGATTTACAACAGTAACACAATTATCACATTTCAAAAAAAGCTCTATAAACTTCATTACACTTGACCTTTTATACCATGACAAAATGATATTCGTATTCAATATCGCTATTGCTACAAATTAAACAATATCGCACATTTCTTTCTACTCTTTTCCTAGCGTAGCGATTGGTTTCAATGGCTAACTTGTGCGATGATAGTCTAAGCTTAGACAGAACGCTTGTAAATTTACATTGCGATAATCTGTTAATATTTTTCAAACCTTTATAAAGTTTCATAATGTTTGTATATATCCAATGTTTCGCATCCCTGTGACAGTTGGTGCCAGTTTTAAAAGTATCTATTTCTCTTTCTTTAAAAAAACAAGATTGAACTTGATTGATATGCCCAAAATTGAGAGTAGCTTTAACAAACGCGTCAAATAGCTTGCAAACCATTCATCATGTGTAATAGGGCCTTTTTTCTAAAAACAATAATTTTCGTCTTCAAAGTTTTCACTTCTAGACCCAAAAATAGTTCAAGGAAATCAATATGTAAAGAGAACATCAAAGGGGACATAACTCTCCTTATTTTAGGCCTACATCACATTCGTTGGATTCCGAATATGAATTACACAACTTTTAACACAACTTACGTATGTTAATACATATTCTTTACTATTTATAAAAGCTTTCTATCAATGCTTTATTAATACAACTTCAGCCATATGCCATTTAGCTGAAATCTAACACATGCTCTTTTCATATCATCCATACAGCAATACAAACGACTATTTTCATTTAAAACTTTGTGTAAAATAGCATTTAAAACAAATACAGCATCACTTTTTGAACGACCTGTGCGTAAGCCGAATTGCGCATCACTTTTAGTGTTATAAGTTTCTGACCAATCGCTTAGCCGCTTATTCAATATTCCTGTAAAAATGTTCGATTACAAGTGTTGTAATACGCACGTCACTGACTGTCCCTCAGTGCTTACACAAAGGTTTATGTGGATATTGTAGTAGAAGTTGTAAACTTTCTTTGAAGGCCTTAATTCTTATTCATCAACTTTAATGTGTCTATAAGTCTAAAAGTACCATGGGATAGCCACTTTAAATCCAAAAGTGTGAATGTCAGTTTCTCTCCTCCCAACGTAAGGAATTTCGAGTTCATGCACTTATGAATAACATACATAACTGACACAACTATTTATGCGATTTAAACATCTGACTAGTTGAATAATAACTTTTGCGTTCCTTATATTTTGTAATGCTGTATCACCATTTTATTAAAAACAGAAGGATATTTTATATGATTGTCTTAACGGTATTGGACCGTACACATAATAAAATCGTGCTTTTAGTCAAACCAAATCTGAGAAAATTACCAGGGTAAAGAAAGTTTTCGATTTTTCAGCTGTTGTTATGGCACTTATTTGACCTGGATTTGATTTTTATCTTTCCCTCAATACACGCTAGATTTGAAAATAGCATCAGATATCAAGAAATAATCAAAATTTGATGTAACTTTTCGTAATTAAAGTCTATGCTGCTTACGGAAGAAACTATTTCCCCAAGTATAAATAATTAAGTTTAATTTTTAGTTTCATAAAAAAAAATCAAGAACAAATCGGCAGTTTTCTTTAACCCCGCGTCAAGAACTCATAAATTTTTAAAAGGTTATACAAATCAATACACTTCTGCAGCGTTAAATATGCACATGCCTAGTGTACTTGATACAGTAAATGCAATGTACTGAGAATATACTGTACAGGTATAATAAACAAACAGTCATAAATAAAAAAATATGAGTCGGTTTCTGATATTAAGCTTGATATCATTTAAAAAAGAATAATTGTTTTACGTATTATACCATGTAATCGACTTGATGAAATTTAATAATTTAATTTCTAATATTGACTGGATAAAGATTTTTCATCAGACACCACTTTTTTATGCTTCCGAAGGGTGGCATATAAAATCGAACCGTCCGTCTGTCTGTCTGTCATTCAGTCAGTCAGTCTCTCAGTCCGTCCGTCCCATTTTATACATATAGACAGTGGTTGTCGTGTCCGCTCTGAAACTTCAATATGCATGAAATGATTTTATTTTTTTTATAAGTATATGAAATAATCAAAGATGTTTGGTGTGTCGCGGACAAAACTCGGGTTCCTATATATAGCTAGAACTAAAATCAAAGTCACTGTGGGGGTTCAAACTTTGTCATTTTTTATGTTATATAAAAATAAAAGGTGGTTGTCGTGTCCGCTCTAAAACTTTAGTATGCATGAAAAAATTTAAATTTTTCTTTCATACATGAAATAACCATAGATGTATGGTGTGTCGCAAATAAGACTCGGGTTTCTGCCACAGGTCAGAGTCACTGTGGAGGTTCAAACTATGTCATTTTATATATTATATAATATAGATGGTGGTGGTCGTGTACGCTCTGAAACTTCAGTATGCATGAAAAAATTTAAATTTTTCTTTCATACATGAAATAACCATAGATGTATGGTGTGTCGCAAATAAGACTCGGGTTTCTGCCACAGGTCAGAGTCACTGTGGAGGTTCAAACTATGTCATTTTATATATTGTATAATATAAATGGTGGTAGTCGTGTACGCTCTGAAACTTCAGTATGCATGACAGGATTTTATAATTTCTCTTTCATATATGAAATATCCATAGATGTATAGTGTGTGGCAAACAAGAGTCGGGATTCCTTCGACTAAGGTCAAGATCATTGTTGGAGTTAAAACTTTGTCATTTTTATGTTATATTTATATAGAAGGTGGTGGTAATGTTTGCTCTGAAACTTCAGTTTGCATGGAATGGTTGTAATTTTTCTTTCACATATTAAATAACCATAGATGTATGGTGTGTGGCAAACAAGACTCGGGTTTCTACCACCAAGTTCAATGTCACTTTGGAGGTTCAAACTTTGTCATTTTTTATATCATAAAAATATAGATGGTGGTGGTCATGTCCGCTCTGACACTTCAGTATGCATGAAAGAATTTTAATTTCTTTTCATATATGAAATAACCATAGATGTATGCTGTGTCGCGAACAAAACCTCGGTTTCTTTGACTAAGGTTAAGGTCACTCTGGTCTTCAAACTTTGTCATTTTAAATTTTTATGTTATATAAATATAGAAGGTGGTGGTAATATCCGTTCTGAAATTTGGGTATGCATGAAAGGATTTTAGTTTGTCTTCCACATATGAATTAACCATAGATGTATGGTGTTTTGCAAACAAGACTGGGGATTTCTACGACTAAGGTCAAGGTTACTGTGGGGTTCAAACTCTGTCAATTTTGATGTTAATAATCATATAGACAGAGATTGTCGTGTCTGCTCTGAAACTGATATGCATTAAAGGATTATATTTTTTGTTTTACATATGAAACTATCATGAATGTATAATGTGTTGCCTGAAAGACCCGTGTTCCTAGGCCTTAGTTCAATGTCCTCACTGGGGTTTAAACTTCTTCAATATTTATGTTATATACACATAAATGGTGGTTGTTGTGCCCGCTCTGTAACTTCCATATACATGAAAGTTTAAATTGTTATTTAAAAATATAAAGTCACCATAGATGGACAATGTGTTGTGAACAAGACCCAGGTTTTTTTTGTCTAACTTTAAAGGTCACTGTTAGGTTACGACTTTGTCAATTTTTCTAACCACACTTAACATGTTATAGGTGGCTTATAACTATAATCATTCGGGGGCATTTGTTACATTCTGTGACAGCTCTTGTTCATATTAATTTCACATAAATTCTATACTTATAAATTAACACAAGTTTTTAATGACCCCAAAGAGAATCAGCAGAAAGTGTTACTGTTAATAAGTAGTCTGTTTTCAAGCTTAATTTAACCTTCATAACAGCTCATTAGATAAAACATTTGTATTTATTGTTTTTGGGGCCCAAGAGCAAAAGTTTTGGTTAAATTTTTTTTGGGGCTAGCCCATGATTTTTTTTTTTTCCCTTTCCAAAAAGCCCGGGCAGTTTGTTATAAAAGTATTCACAAAACTTAAAAGGTTTTATTATTTTTTTTTGGTCAAAAAATAAAAAAATTTTTCTTTTGGGCAGAAAATTTGGGTAATAAAATACTTAAAGTATCTTAAACGTTGGAATGGGGAGGCCGAAAAGAAAAAGGTTGCTAAAAATTTTTTTAAAAAAGGCAAACTATGGGTTTGGGAGACGGTTTAAAATCTTTCAGTTTTATGACGTGTTTTCATTTCCAATTTTTTAAAGTTTTTTTAAATAATTAAAAGAATTTGAATTTTATATTGTTCCATCTGTTAAGGTTTCTTTCAGAACATTATTACATGTGTTGATTTTCTTGTTTCAATTGATTCGAAGTATGACAAACACGACCCAGCAACACAGAACTACCGACGTGAGGCCCAGCAAGATACCAAACAAAAACAGGACAGGGCACAGGGTATTAATTTAAATAAAATTCAGAATATGAAACCAACAAGTTAATTAAAGATAAGCCTACAAAAAGTAAAGGGGTGTAGGGAAAAGAACTTGAGGAAGATAGGTGGGGGAGAGGCGGGGGGGGGGCAAAATGAACAGGCTCAATCAAACCGAGCATTTCTA